TTTGGACACGTTTTTCACTATGGGTCATCCGGAAACAGTCTCTCTGTGCTTTAGTACAGGGGTAAGACTGCGTACATCCGACCTCCCCTTACCCCACCGTAGGTGGGAGCCTTTGCGGCACTGAGGTAAATGAAAATGAAAATGAAAATGAAGGATGTGGGATGTGTGTGTTCTTGCACAAGCTGTTTTATCTGGGCCTGATCCAGTTGACGTTGCCTCCGTCTTATGGAATCATTTCAAAATTGTGGCAACTTCATCGAGACCAATTGTGATAGGGGGCCTAATCACGCATATAGCCACCTTATATGGTTTTGTAGACCCAAGCTCCATTACCCCTAAACAGCTCATTTGCACGGGTAGGCTTGTATAAAAGACCCTAGATTTGGCTCTATCTCACATGACACCTACTGGGACACCAATATATAAATGGCTCATCATCCCACGAAGTAACATATTTATCCATATCCCATCCCCTGACGTCCCCTTGGATATCGTGGGTCACCACATCGGTGATGGTCATCACTATTGTCTCCCCGGGGCAATCCCAGAACATTATGCAGAAGATGAGCTCGTTCAAGATTAAGACGCCAATGACCAACCCCCAATCATACCTGATCCACCGCAACAACATCCTAATGCTCCAGCGTACCAATACACACTATTCGAGCAACAGGTGCTCGATAACATGAACACGATCAACAACAACTACATCCTACTTCAGGAGCAAGTTGGACCGTATATAACTGAGCAAATGCAGAGCTTCGAAAGGATGGAGGAGCAAAGGCGAGAAGATTGGCGGAGGTATGAAGAGGACTAGCGGAGACATGAGGAGGACCAACGGAGAACCTATGATCCTATTTACTCCTACATTGCACCACATGGATCCTTTTCATTCATGACCAAACCCCCTTCTGCACCTTCCTGGTATGACCCCACTCAATGGGGTACTTATGGAAGTTCGAGTTCCGGTGGCGGAGGGAGCTATGGCGGCAGTACATACATGGATGAGGATGAGCATCCATACGCAGGGTGCTTTCATAATAGCTACTATGGCCATGGAGGACACTTTGATGGAGGTGATGCAGGCGGGCACCAGGGACAGTGCCAGGTACTACTTGGGGGAGATTGTTCTTGTATGCTCACAATCCTGCTCTTTTCATTCATTTATAAAAAAATGAATAAGTTTGTTGAGTTGAAAACCCACAACGGGCAACTCAAGCAAAAATAAAAGCAATAAAAAAAGAGTGAGGTTGTGAGAATTAAAAAAATGTGGGAAGCTGGGATGAAAACCTGAAAGGGCACCTAGACAAAATGAGAGAATGAGAGAAAATATCTCTTTTTTATTTTGCAGGATCTTGACGGTGATAATTTAAAAGAGATATGGAGATAAAGATGAAGTTGAAGACCCCTTTTTACTCTATTCACTTTTGGGGATTCTTTGTAATTACTTTTGTTCTTAAAACATTCTTGGACTGTTGTGTTGATACTATTATCATTTGGAGGATTGCATGGACAAGATTTGTTTTACTCGAGATGAGTAAAAGTTCAAGTGTGGGGGTGTTTGATATGCACTAATTAGTAGTGCATAAATGTATGTTTTTATGTTTGATTTGTGTGGATTGTTTACCATTTTATTTAGTTTGTAAACATTTGTGTGAATTTAGTTGTAATTGCATTTTAGTTTTCATTTATAAGTTGTAAAGTATAGTTAGGATTTGTGGTGTTGGAAAGGAAGACTTTGAAGTGAAGAAAAAGGAAAATTAACTGCCCAGAAGCAAATACCCGACTGGGTATAACCCCTCACCCGGTCGGGTAAGAGGTGAGAACCGAACAAGCTAGGAAGTTGCATGGCCCGGTCAGACCCACTACCTCACCAGGTGGGGTGAGACTTGACCGGAGGCAATCGGACGTGCTGAAACACAAGAACATGGGAAATTATCTGATTTTGACCGTTACCCGGTCGGGTGAGCACCTTACCCGGTTGGGTACCCGGCCAAAGGTGTTGAAAACACCTATAAATACCACACTTTTCCTTCTCTAAAAATCATTCCTTCTTCCATACTCTTAAGCTCAGTTTAGAATAGCATTTCTTTATATTTTTCTAGCTATGTTTAGTCTCCAAATGAGGAGCTAAACTTCCATTTCTTGGTTTTGGTCTTGAAGCTTGTTGATTATTAAAATTGTGAGTTATTTTCTTAACTTCTCTCCTTGAATATTAATTCTTCTCTTAATCTATCTCTATATTAATGTTGGGGAGTGTTGCTAAGATGACAATTAGTTAACATCTCAATATTAATTATTACTTGAAACGATCAACGAACTGATGGTTAATCGTTGATGGTTTCACAAGTAAGTAACTTCGGTTATTAATGCACGGTCGTGGTTAATAAACTTAAGAGAGATTATTTTTTTTGGTTAAATCGAAACCGTTGTGTTGAGGTTATCAATCTCAATTGATTTCATCAAGGAGTTAGAAAGATTAAATGCTACTATTAAATCAGTATAAGGCGTTGTTCTATATTTGATTAATAGTAAGGGTTATTAATGAACGGTCGTTGTTAATAACTATCCTCGATGAATTGCAGATACTCCTCGATTGAGTATTCGAGAGGGATAAGTTATAGATATAATAAGGATCGACTAAATATATCAACAAGTGGAAAGTAGCAAAGCCAAGTCCCTTTTATCTTTGAATTAAAACTCATATAAGTCATTCATCTTAGTGTTTAATTAAATTAAATCCCTCAATCCCAAAACCCCCCTTTTATTTACTTCTTCATTAAAAGAGAATTATTCATTTCCCTGTGGATACGAACTCTACTTCACTATACTACGTATAAGTATTAGTATTGAATTTATTACCGTGCGATCAGCCATTTGAGTTGCATTGGCAGTAGGGATAAGAGATACATTGGCTGTGGCTGCTTCGGCGATGTCTTGCTCTTTTTCAAGCAAAATTGTCTGAAGTTCTGCCATTGAAAGTGTTGTTTGACGAATTCTAATAGCAGACCTTAATTCTCCATATTCAGATCCAAGTCCTTTGAGAACATTAATAACGATATCCTCCTCAGACATGGGGTTTTGAGCTAGTGCAAGGGCGTCGGCTAGTGCCATCATTTCAGCCAAATATTCCAGAATAGATCGGTTACCCTTGATAGTCTTCGCCATAGTGGTTTTGAGTGAGATAATGCGGCCGCGGGAGGTACTTGCATAGGTCTGAGCCAATTTTTCCCATGCACAGAGAGCTGTAGGAGCTGATGACAGTAGAGGTTGGATTGTTTCGAAGCAACTTCCAATTAACGCACTCAGGATGACCTTGTCCTGACGATACCAAACGGTGTAGGCGGGATTTGGTTGTTTTTTAGCCTCGTCCAGAAAATGGTCAGGAGCAATTGTGGTGCCATCTACATAGCCTTCAAGTCCGAGACCGACAAGAGCGGCATGAACTTGGCATTTCCAGACGGAAAAGTTGGAAGATGTGAGTTTGATGGGGAAATTGGTAGTGGCGGTGAGTTGGATCACCGGGGTGGTGGCGGTAATGGCCATAGAAAAAAAAATTATGCTCGTATGAGGCTGGCTCTAGATACCATAAAGGGATTGTAGAAGAGTATTTTTCATATATAATTCAATATACACGAATCACTATTTATACACATGTATGTACTATTAGATAGGAATGACTAGCTAATATAGTGGAACTAAATGCATACGTTAGCTATGCTAAATTAGTGGAGCTGATACATACGTTAGCTAATACATACGTTAGCTATACCTAAAATAGTATATACGTTAGCTATGCTATCATAATAACCATAATGTGTATAATAATTATGATGCTTCAATACTAGCTTTGTCTGGAACTGATTTGGGACCCGATATTTCACTTGGAGGCTATGGCTATTGATGTTTGGAAAAGTCTTTGGGAAATAAGTCATTGACTTAGATGACAACACAATCTAGTACTACCTCCGTCCTAAAATTAACTTCCCATTTCGGATTGAGATTCTTGACCGACGATAAAGCAACCCGATCCCTGTTCATACTCAGATTACTTTAAGTAAATAAAATTTACATATTGAGAAACTATATTAAAACTGCTACAAAGGCCGATAAAAAAATATAAATTTGATAAAAATTTGATATATAAAACATAAGATTAAGAGTAATTTAAGTTGACCATGTGAATAGTGACTATGAAGTTCATTTTGAGACGGAAGGAGTGTTTTATTTCTGGAAATAAGTCATTCTTTTCTAGTATTCATAAGTGAAAATAAGCGAGGTGAAAATAAGTCATTGCGTTAGATGACAATGTGTGCAGTAGTAATGTTTGCTTATTTTCACTTGGAAATACGCAAAAACAAGGCTTTTGCTGGAACTGATTTTGGAGGCTATAGCTTTATTAATGTTTGTTCAATTGATTAACAAGATCAATGAAAAAGCATCTTGCTCTATAAATATGTGTGTGTATTTTCACTTTGCTTTGTACAAATTGATAGGCTATTGATTTCAACATCCTCTTGCAAGCCACTTGAATTCGTTAACATGACTGCAGAAGATCGTGCAAAATGGATATCCTATAAATTGAAATGATATGTATCCAGTACTAGGATTTTTGCCAGAACCTTGTTCCCTTTTTGAGTATTTGAGATTGTTTGTATGTTTATTTCTTGAACATTACTATATCTCAATGTTTTTGGGATTATGTTATTAACTAGTATAGTTTATTAGCTATTTATGTTCAGAATCACTTTTGGGTTATTTTGAAACCATGAATGCAAAGTGATAGCATAGTTTTCTCTTCATTGTAATAAGTACATTGTAATTTTTGTTAGTGTGAAAAGATAATCCTTGATAACATTGTTTTATGAAGTATTTTTTAAGGGAAAAATTAAATAAAAGTCTACAAATGTCTTAATATGTCTCATGTCCAAATCCACGAAAATCTAGGCAAATTCATAAATGTCTCCTAAAATCCCATAGTTTAAAAATGTATTAGGCATAAATGTCTCCTAAAATCTCAAAAGTATTTTTTTTGAATACAGCCCCTTAAATTAGGCATTTCCTCTGATTCTTTCCAACTCTCGTAAGCCATTCTCACTCAGCGGATTTCTCACTCCCAGATGGCGAACCACTGAGCATATCAAGAGTTCATCGCTCTCCGACAGACCCATATCCCGCCATCTATACTCGGTAAACACAAAATATCAGACAGTGAGGTTAATTTTTCTCTTAAACTTTTGTCTGATTTCACTAATTTGTGATCAGACTATACTTGTTCAATGCATATACTATCTGCTTCGAAACTCTTTCTAAGAAATTCTAGTTTTTTTTATGTCGAATCTAATATTATACTTGTTGTATAGTAAGGAATTAGCCGGTCTGCCCACAATCTGAAATCCCAAAAATTCCAGTTTTTTCTCAATTAGATTTATTTGGATTCCCTACCTAATCTAGGCAATTATACGATTAATTGAATGTCCAGAAATTGGAGAATTTTTTATCTCGATGGGTGCATTCGTGCAGACCTATGGGAATATTTGCTAGTTCTGACAAGGTAACTTATACCTCAAAGATACGTTCACTGTCAAGGGACTTGAAAGATTATAAAATGTATGGATATAGGACAGAATGATCACCTTTCAAAAAAAAGGACAGAATGATCAAAATCTATCTATCTAAGATCTAAAGTTCCATGAATTTTAATATTTTGTATTTTAAAAATTAAATTTTACTCCGTATTTAACCTTATTAAACTAATAAACGTTTTTGAAGAAAAAATCATACAAAATTAACAGTGTAATTAATAAAAAATTAAATAAATCAAAATCTATGATATTTACATCCTAGGTTGATACCAAGTATATCTTTCGGGTCTTGGATTGATAAAATTCTTTTGAATATATATGAATTTGTTTGTGGATTTTTTTCAGATTTAGCAATATATTGTTTCAAATTTTTTCTGTTGTTTATCTCGCCATGTTTATATGAGTAGATTAAGATTTCAGAACTTTGAATCTCCTAGTATTGTACTACGTATTTCAGAACTGCAGGCCACTTGTTTGAGAAAATGTCTCAAGCGAAACTAAATGCCTTCTTATGTTTACTGTAGCTGAGCATCGAAAATGCTTGTATTACGTTATTATTCACTCTTATACATTTATATTATATTTTCTAGCAATGAAATTCACTGATGTGGTAATTTGTTAGCATACCTGATACCATGAAAATCATCTGATACACTATTTTAACATACTTGATACTATGAAAATTGAAAGTCACCATCTATAGTTATGTTTTCTATATTTTCCTGTTCAGCTGTCCTGTGTGCATCATACAGTCATATTTAAGCTGAGAAGTTGTTCCTGAAGAACAAATGTGCTTTCTTGTGAATGTTATAACTGGTGCATAAACTCTTTATTTCTCCCAACTTAAAAACAACTCTTTAGTTCAACATAATTTATTCAATCACTGTAATGACCATGATAAGAACATTTAATTGCTGGACTCATACGTTGTTACATGGACTTTTCAGTCTGTCTACAATCTGGCATCATTTGGTGTAATATAAAGGGAAGCAAAAGGTTTGAAATAATAAGACAAAACCATCTAACAGAAGCTTTCAAGCAATCGTCTGGTGCGGGATGGAGTCAAATCGGAGACAGGCATTAATACTACTTTATCTAACTGTATTCCCCATGATTATAAGTGTGAGGGCCTGGACCGGTGCAATCTATGGCCGAGTCGTGTGTGATGTATGCAGAGATTCTTCTATTGGCCCAGAAGACCATGTTCTGGAAGGTAATGCATCGTTTTTTTCTCAGATGCTTCTTCTTTTCCACTCTTTTTTTTTTTAAATGTAGTCATGCCCTTCTCAAAATGTAATTTGTAATTTCCATCTCCCAACTGTCTAAATCACATTTCTGGCTAGCAGGAGCAGAGGTTGCTGTTCTTTGCTTAACAAAGACTGGTGAAGTTGTAAATTATCAGGCATTCACGGACTCGAATGGGATATACAGAGTTGCAGAAACTATGCCAGAGAGTGATCGGTGGGATACATGCTTGGCTAGACCCATAAGCAGCTTCCATGATCACTGTACACACCTCAGAGAGGGCACCAGCTCGGGCATCAAGTTCAGATACAGCCATCGATCTGGCTATTCCCATACGCTTAGACCATTCGTTTATCAGCCACCCTCTCTCCCAACTTACTGCACATGATGATTGTCATTTTCTCTTGCCATGGCGTGGGTTGGGTGACTGTTGGGGAGGTGGATCAAGAGCTGCTGACATCTTTGTGTTTCAATTTAGAACTGTTATAAAAGTATATAATGAACCAAATCTAATGATAATTAATTTTAAATTCATGCTAATATTGACATTTTTTATTCATTTTTTTCCAATCAAAATGAGCTTGCACCGAACCACCAACGCGTACACCAGTATGATGCAATCATGTAATGGACAATGAGGATGGTTGAGAAACAACGAATATGATTTCAAATTAAAAGAATAGTTGTTCAAGAAAAGCATAAGAGTAATTTTATATTAAAAACTTACTAAAATTAGAAGTGTCAATTTCATGTTGGACCTGTCGAAAACAAAAGTGTGAAGTTTATTTGGGATTGGAGGTAATATATATTGAATCTGAGATCAACCCTTTAATGTTGGATTGAATGTAAAAGACCAACTTCTCATGATAATTTCTTTTTTGGGCCAAGAAAAATATGATATGTATCATGTATGAGGTTTGAAGCATAGATAGAGGAAAAATTAACTGAGTGGAAGTATAAGAAAATACATTTAATAATAAGAAACTTACAATTAGAATATATATATATAGGGGATGATTCAAATAAAAAGAGGTCTTAACGTGCAAAGTGAAAAGTTTACACTTTTTCATGTTTCGCTTGCACTTTTTCTTGCTTTCGTTGCACTTTTTCGTGATAGCTCAAAAAAAATGGTTTATTTACAAAACTGTCACCGTCATTTTGGCCGAATTTGGCCAAAATCAAAATGGGAAAAAAGTGCAACGCAAACAACAAAGAGTGCAAGCGAAACATGAAAAGTGAAAACTTTACACTTTGCACGGGAAGACCACTTTGCATAGGTGAGTTCTAATACAAAGAGGTCTTCCCATGAAAAGTGAGAAGTAATCTAAGCTCTTGATTACTTAAAAATGGATGGTATAGATCAAAACTCACGATCAACAAAATTGTGTAATACATAATAGCAAAAGTGCATATGCAATATGTAATGGTGCACATACAACCCAGCCCAAACCAATTTTTTTTATTAATATTGATGGATTATAGGGTATCTAAGTATATATAAAATGGGAGAGATTGAGCTTAATGTGAGGAAGAAGATGATAATGAATAATGAATTGTGAAGTTATGTTCTAGGGTTACAAATGGCTCCAAGAGGAGTATAAATAGGGAAATAATGGGCCGGGCCGCTAATATGGGCCCGGTAGCCCAACTACATGAAAGACTAATCTAGTACATAGTTACATACAAATGACATATAAGCAGTACAATAATACAAATGATATCCGTAAGATGTGTGTGGGCCGCTCTCCGGGCCCAATAGTCGTGAGACTCGGGGGTCCGCGTCTATATACTCTATCAGGAGTCCCCCACTCTATGAGTCGAGAGTATTCGAGGCGAAAGAGAGTAGAACTGTGTGCTGATCTGTCGCCGTCTGGTGAGTAAACTTCATGAACAAAAATTTGAATTTCTGCTTCTTTGGTTAACGGAGGCGCTAAGTCCCCCGCTCTTCCAGTCCCCCACTCCTTGAGGCGAGTGTAATGAGGTGAAGAGGGGTAGAGTAATGCGTGTCGGATGATGTCTTCAACAAGGGGCCGAGGGTTGACACCTTTTGATCCATGATGGGGAGATGCCTCGTTAAAAACCTCATTAGGAAAAACTCTGTGGAAAAAATCCTAATGAGGGAAAAAGAGTACACCGGATGCCCCCAAAATGAAACAAAAGGTGCGAGCCCTTCGGCTTGGAGATGGAGCTGTAGCGGTGCCCGTCTGCTGGATGGTCGAGGCCGATCTCTAGATGTGGGTAGCTCATCATGATCAGTAGTCCTAGTCATCAAATAAAGATGACTAAGGGATGGGTCGAGCGACCGTCCACAATATGATGTCTGGTTCATCAAATAAAGATGACCAGAACGTAAGGCCGATGGGCCGAGAGGCCTGTACGAGAGCTCCACGTTGTCAAATAAAGACGACGAGGCGATGGTGCGGCCGAGGGGCCTGCATAAGAGCTCCACGTCGTCAAATAAAGACGACGGGGCGATGGTGCGGCCGAGGGGCCTGCATAAGAGCTCCACGTCGTCAAATAAAGACGACGGGGCGATGGTGCAGCTAGGGGTGAGCATAACCCGAACCCACCCGAAAACCCGATCGGGTCTGCCCTCTTCTAGCTGATTGGGTCGGTTGACCCGAACCCGAAAACCCGAACCGAAAAGCCCAGCCCATGTTTTAAGGGTTATGGGTTACGGGTAGGGTATTATAAATCCCTACCCGACCCGCCCGAATACCCGAACTACCCATACTATATATACGAATTATTTATCACTAACCCTAACCCTAACTGCCTAACACTCCAGCGCCTCCACTCTTCAGTCTTCACTCGCAACTCCCTCTCTTGATCTCTCCTACTGCGAGTCTGCGACTTCTCTCTAACCATCCCTGTCAACTCTCCGTCGTAGGTCCGACCTCTGTAGTGTATTTGTACCTCCGGACTCCGGTGGAAGCTTGTACTCTCGATCTCTCACTCTCTCGGTCTCTCTTACTGAGGTATAAACGTTAAATACCTAAACTGTATGCTTGGTGGTTTGGTGGAAGCATGATCCATAAGTGTGATGTGTTATCTGTTTTGTATATGAATTAGTTGTATTATTTTGATGCACTAGATTCGGACCCTGATACCCTTTCTATGAATTAGTTGTATATGAATCTGTTTTGGTGGAAGCTTGAAACCCTAGATTCGGACCCTGATACCCTTTCTATGAACTACCTGTTAATCTATGATGCTTTGGTCATGCATATGAATATATGATTATATGAATCTATGATTCTGAGATTTTGATATAAATGGTCTCTGAATATGTGCTGCCTCGATGATGCATGTGTGATTCTGAGATTTTTATATAAGTGGCCCCTGAGTAAAGATGATGGTTGATTTATTATGAGTTCTGAGTCTTTTGAAAAGTGTTGAAGTTGCCTTTTTCTACTCTAACACTCAAATGAGTAGTTAGAGTGAACTGATATCTTCTAAGTCTGTAGAGAAGTGAATAAGCCTTTTTCTACTGCTTAGTACAAGTGGAAGAGTGTTGGACTGTTTTAGGAGTTCTTTGAGTGCCAAAATTGTAGAAGCACTCATATGTGCTCAAGATTGGTTGAGGATGTCAAACCAGCCTGTGTCAGTTGAAGAAAATATTGAGGAGGTAGAAAGGCTGGAAACAGGTACTAACTTTTACTTATATAATATTCAGTGTTTATATTTATACATATTGTTAAATTCTTATTGTTTTCAATGCAGAATTAACTGATGGAAATGTTGGTGGAGGCTCTTCTCTTGATCAGATAGTAGTATACTTTTTACCTTTATCTTTTAGATATGTAATATATTATATTATTATTTCACTAATGATTTGCTATATATGCTTCTGTCAATGATCTGATTGTAAAAGCCTAACCATGTTGCTGTCATGGCATTGGAAGTGTTGTTGATTCATTGGTACAATTTCTCCTAATTACTGTGTTTGTACTTTGCCCAACAAGACATGGTAATCTTCTTTCACTCTTGAGTTAATTGATTAAGTGTAGCATGTATCTGGCAATGATGATAGCTTCCACCAAAAATGAAATTGATGGGTTGGTGTTGATTCTATTTCCATATAGTTTCGTATGCCCCCATTAATAGTGAAGTCAATTTAAATCTGAGCCAAATATAACAACATACATGTTGCCTTAATGGAAGTACTGGAATTTGGTAATGTGAACATTGAGTTAATTGATTAATTGTAGCATGTATCTGGCAATGATGATAGCTTCCACCAAAAATGAAATTGATGGGTTGGTGTTGATTCTATTTCCATATACTTTCGTATGCCCCCATTAATAGTGAAGTCAATTTAAATCTGAGCCAAATATAACAACATACATGTTGCCACTTAGACAGTAAACTGGAATTTGCTTATGCATATGTATTTATGACTTCTGACTTATTAGATTAATTGTTGCATTATTTAATCAGTAATGATAGTTTCCACCAAAAAATTAAATTAAGAATACAAAACTGAGTCAAATTAAGGATATGTTGCTTCCTGCCTTGGTTTTACTACTGCAATTTTCCTATGTACTTATGAATTATGAGTTCTTACATGAATTGTTTACTCAATTAGTTATTTTGGCAATGAGGATGGCTTCTAGCCTTCTACAGTTCTACCAGAAAATAAAATAAATGGGTTTGGTGTTGATTCTAATTATATAGTGATTAATGCCCCCATTATTAGTGAACTGAAATTAAATTTGAGCCAAATCTTATTGTATTTCTATATACTTTTGAATTGTTTATAGTTCCCACTTCCCAAGTTCCCAGAAAATAATAATGATAATAATGACACTAAACACTTCCCAGTTTAGTGTTTTATGATACTAATGTGTTTGTGACTTACATAGGAACAAAATCAATGACTGTTCGGTTGATGATCTGCGAAATTGATGAAACCTGGAATTCTGGAAACACTCTAGTAGACTAGTAGTCAAGTAGATGTCAAGAGTCAAGATCTGAAGACTTGTACATCAATTGAATGTTGTTAAACTTTTTGTTGGTACTTGCTGTTTTGGAACATTTGATTGCTCAAACTCTAAATGTTAAACTGCTTTGTGCATAAGCAGTATAACTGTGTAAGTGTTAATGTATGAGTGTATAAGTGTTAAGTGTATAAGTTATAAACTTATAACTATTAGCCATGTGTTTGGAGTTGTACAAACTCTACTAATTTTGCAATTGCTTTTGATAACATATTAATATGTATTTTATTTGTGTTTGTAAAGTCTAATCCAACATTTTTTTTTCAAGGTGATTTTATGAATTATTTGTGTTATGTTTTAATGGATTTAATCAGCCCGAATGGCCCCGAAAATCGATTAAAACCGACCCAAATCCGAAATTGTGCAACCCGATTAGACCGATTTTTTTTTGGACGGGGTAGGGTTTTATATTCTCAGCCCGATAACCGAAAGGGTATGCAAAAACCCAACCCGTCCTACCCGAACCCGTCCGACGCTCTCCCCTAGGTGCAGCCGAGGGGCCTGCATAAGAGATCCACGTCGTCAAATAAAGACAACGGGGCAATGGTATGGCTCAGAGGCCTGCATGAGAGCTCCACGTCGTCAAATAAAG